CATGGGTTGTTTGACTAAATGATGTGCTCTTAGGTCAACTCTTAGCAATTGTTCATAGTAATCCAGTTTTCATGCAAGAATATTTATCATCATTTACTAACCAATTTTAAAAAACAAACTTTAGAGAACTGAATGTGGACTTATTCATGCCAGTAGGAAATATGAATTACCCATTTTTAATTTTCTAATTTTTACGATATGCACCCAAATTAAGACTCTCAAATCCCATTAATGAAATAGTAATTACACATTCAAAACTATTTCATTTATACTAAACTAGTTGCATCTCAGAAGAAGCATTTCTCTTCTCTCTTCTAAACTGCCACTCTCCATTCTGAATGGCAGAAAATGAAAAGGATTAGAAACAAGATCTTCTAAGGTATTTCACAGGATCTGCATGCAGTACTTCTACTAGCCTCTGACTTATCTACTGTGACTTTGTAAATTTGCAACTATAGACCATTTAGGGAAATTCACATTCTTGCTACTAAGTATTGATTCTCACTTGTATCCCAACCAGTGTTTTCTTAAACTATATTTCTGGATATTGGAAAGGAAGAATAATACTCTCATTATCTCTTATACAATTCTTTATTCATCATTTTAGAAATCTTGATCCAAGTCCCTCACTTCTGTTCTAAGGCAAACATGAAAGCAATCACTCTTAGGCTAAATAGAGGTGAGCTTTCTAGAAAGTTAGCCACATCACACACCATCAAGAGGACCGACATTAAACTAAAAAGGTTGCATCTCTGGAAGTCCCAAGAAAGTACTTGCCTGAACCCTACAAACATAACTCTCCTCTGTGATTTTACAAGGGGGAGCAGTGAGTAACCGAGAAATAGTTTTTAAATGACTCGATTGCTAAAAAAGCATTCTTTCATTAAAAAAAAAAAATTAAGTGTCGTAGAAGCCAGGTAGGACGTATAAGCGCTGCAAGCATTAAGCTGTATGAAAATATAGCAATTCTTTTTGCGTCTTGCAACAGAGGCTCATCCCTGACTATAGAAATGGCTGAATATCATTTCTGGCCACAATCTTCCATAAGTTTTCATTTCCAATGTTGCTTTATTTTTATTTTTTTAAATAGCAGTGAATTAGGTGTCAACCCAGTGAGCTGAAGGGAGAATGGGATCCAGTCTAGGAAATCAATTACTTTGGGGCCAATTCTTTTTCACTATAATTCTGCTGCAAACATTACAATAACATTGTATAAGCATACCTCCCATAGACAAAGAAATATAATGTTGCTGTACTTTATGCAAATCTACTTACCTGAGAAAGTGGGTTAGGTGTAGGCAGGAGTCCACCCCCCGGCAGAAGGCCTGCCACAGCATTAGCTGGTGCCAGGAGAGATAAAGCCTTAGTCTCATCAGGAATAACTCCTGCAGAGAGACAACTTTGCATTAGAAGTTACTCATCAATTTATCTTTTTTTAAAAAAAAATCCACACACAAATACACCCAGAAAATGTCTCCCTGAAACACCATCTGAGTTTGCTGAAAGTACTTATGTTGGCTATAATACAATGTTTGCTTTCTTAATAATTTATCATTAACTTGTTTGTCAGAATGAAACTTCAATGTGTGAAAATTTGTTCCTTTTTCTCTACAAAAGGTTAAGTTCTAGAATAAAAAATAGCACAATACACACTACTTTTTTGTTAACACTGCCAAGATTTCATCACCTGTACTCGATTTTTAAGTCATGAACCAAACGTAAGCAAGCACAGTCGGTTCTCCAGGGGTGTGCTCTCAACTTTCAAAAGCTGTTTTATGAACAACGACTCGTGTCGGCTGCTTCACTATAAAGCACACAGAAAAATCAAGATACACAAGACAAAAAAAGGTTGATTTAGGGGTTAATAATATGGCACAGTTCACTATGATTTCTTTTACACCTACCATACAATTTTGTAAAACTTAAGAGAAGGTAAGAAAAAGTGTAGGGCTTTTGCTGACTTCTCATTTGGATCTGAAGGTCTCCACAAAGGTCCAAATGTAGGTTCTGCATGTGTGTCCACATGTATGTGTTTATGTGAACACCTAAAATGTGACACATTCTTACCTGTGCAGTAAAATACATGTTCCACTCTGTGTCATGGTTACTGTACCAAGAATGCTGCTGAGTATTGCCCTTTCAGAAGAAACTTCTGATTTGCAGCTTGTGGTCTGCTAAGCGTCTATTTTTACTGCCTATCCCCGAACAAAGAATAACCTTCAAAAGGCTCAACATGAGACAAACAGTAATGTTGATTCTTGTTATTTTAACCAACAGCAAAAGCCCTAGACATATGGATTAATCTGTTAATGTGCCCAAGCCCCCAACGTGAGAGAGTTCAATAAAATAACTGTACTATATATTTGCAAATACCAGAACCATTTCTGCAAGACATATTAAAAAAAACTGCATCTCATCATAAAACATACAATATGTACAGGGCACTTAAGAGAAACTGGATAAGCTGCAGAAGAAAACTGTTGGGTGGTATTTTCAGCAGGGCCTGGTATATAGTTCAGGCTGAACCAGGGAAAAGAACTGTAAAACACAACAACAAAAAAGAAAAACCACTGTTAAATAAAGGTAATGGTTCCTTCCACCTATACTGAGAAGTGCCGATAATATAAACAAACGTATAATACACAGCACTGTTATCTTTCTTCTGTCACTGAGCTGTCATAATTTCAATACCAAAAGTTATGGTGGGAAAAGGGGGGGGGAGAAAGGTCATTTAGATACAGGGCATTAATGCATCAATATAAACATATCTACTGAGATTATGGGATAAATTTGCATGCAAATTATGTCTCAGAGGATATTATTTATGTTTACACACAATTAGTGCAACTATAACATTTCTGGCATCTAGCTAAAACTCCTCGAGACATCTCGCAGAAGATCTGCATCCATTAAGTAGTCATGCATCTGATCCTCTCATTTTGTTTTTAGAAAAAAAGTTATTCAGAAATAAGACTACGATTTAAAAAAAACAATGAGGCCCCTCACCAGTTAATTTTCATGCGTCAAGAGTTTTTTTACTGCTGCTTTGTTAGAACCATGACATACTGCATGAATGTGTAGAAATGAAGAAAAAGAAACAGACAAAAGAAACAAACATTAACCAAAGAACCTACACAAACCCACCCAAAGTCACTGTTTTAATATCTGCATTGCTTCCAAATCCTTCCATTTCATCACGAAGATTATAGTACTATGCCTTACCGTGAACTTTGTGTTATGTCTAAACACAAAGCAACAATCAACACCAAGATGTATGAACACACTAAGAACAGAAATGCAACTTGATACTAGGGAATATATGATCAGTACAATGCATATTGTAATATTTGTAGAGAGATAATATCAGAAGCTATTGCCACAATAGTAAAGGGAAAGATTTCAATTCAGCAGTGTTTAAGCATATGCCTCAATGCAATTGAACAATTTCACTGATCTTGAAATGTTTTTTTTTCTCAGCAATGCTTTAGCACTAGCAAAAATGGGGTCTTGTGAAAAGAAGAATTGAAGAGTGATACCCATATTCTTCCACTATATAAGGACCATTTGCAAGAACAAAGTAGAGACCAAGTTCATAGGAAAAAATCATGGGTCTGTTATGCTGATAAACCACTTGTCATATCCTGCCAACTACAAAATGGTGCAGATCCTAAAAACCCAATGTGAGTTCTTGATAGGTAACAACTACTCAAATTGCATTAAACAAACCTCAGAAAAAATTCAGAAAACTCATCTTTTTGACCGGTATTGCAGCATGAGATTTATCAGTCATCTATCTTTCTAGAAGAGTTTAAAATCTTGTTTATAAAGAGAAAAAAATATGCTGTATTAAAACCATTCAAGCTCTTAAGGAGAGAGACTATTCTTAAACACTAACTTGCAGATATACTGGAGGCTATTGGTTCAGTTAATTAGAGCCAAGGTGAACACGACAGCGGCATTCCTTCCCCAATCACATAAAAAGGTGTATAATCCATGTTTAGTAATAAAAGGAATACAAAGAGGCAAGGGCCCTGAAACCTACCCCAGGCCTGCTGCTTATTTCACCACAGTAGCTTTCTGCGGATGCTGGCAGAGTTGCAGCATTGGAGCTCATAAAGAAAAAACAAAGGGAGACAGACTGCAAGGAGGTTAAATTGCAGGCACAGGAAGGCGGCTATACACTTCACCCTTTTGCCCACCCTTCCTCTTTCTATGAAACAGGGACCAAACCATATTTAAAAACACAGCTACTGTCGCATCTAGCTTGGCCCTAATATAGACAGCAATTATGTAAAACTCAGGCATAGATATATCTGACGTTGTCAGAATTACATGTTAAGAAATAGTATTTTAAAGTATTCTATTCTATCCAGCCAAGTTAAACTAACGAGGATGAAACTTTGTTATTAATTATAGTTTCAGTTTTGAATATCCTAACATTAATTAATTAGACCTGCCTGTTGCATATTCTTCTACCTTATTAAGGAGTAGAATGAGGCACTACATATAAAAACATAGACTACAATTCAGCAGTTAGTCTGTGTAAATCCACTGATTTTAATGAGATGTAATCTTTGTATGCAGCAGTGCAGCTTTAAGTGAAGTAATTTACTGTAATCCAACTAAAATGAGTACTAGTTTATCAGTTAATAGTGCCTTTGAAAGAGTTGTGGTGAAATCTATTGAGGTTCAAAGAACTCATTAGAAGAGCAGTCTTCTTGACAAGAGTTTTAGTTATAGTTCCAACCTGCTCATTGTTTTTCAAATTACTGTAACACCCTAAAAATGTAAGAAAAAGAAGAGAGAGAAAAATGTTGTTAACAAGTGAGTGATTTACACCGGGAAAACACTTGGGGACTTGAATGCTTGCTGGCCTTTAGTTAATGTCTAGAATCCCCTGTAGCTGCAGAGGACCCCACTGTTTCAGTCATCTTGGAAGGGCTTTTGCATTTGCCTTCTCCACTATAAAAATCACACACA